TCAGGAGCTCAAGACCAGCCTTGGCAACATGGTGAAACCCCGTCTCTACTAAAAATACAAAAATTAGCCGGGCGTGGTGGTGGGCACCTCTGTAATCCCAGCTCCTGGGGAGACTGAGGCAGCAGAATCACTTGAACCCGGGAGGCAGAGGTTGCAGTGATCACACCATTGCAGATCACACCATTGCACTCCAGCCTGGGCAACAAGAGTGAAACTCTGTTTAAAAAAAAAAAAAACCTGTAATTACTGTAAATAAAACACTGCTATACTGCTATCAAAGGTATATGGAGAAGGAAGTATAAAAATAAACACTGTATTTTGAGTACCAAGTAAATAATAAGAAAGAACGACTAAGACCAACTATTTGATAGCACAACAAGGTAACCACAGTCAATAATAATGGTACATTAGTTAAAGTAACTTGAAGAGTGTAATTGGATTGTTTGTAACTCGATGGATAAATGCTTGAGGGGAAGGACACCCCATTCTCCATGAGGTGCTTATTTCACATTGCATTTCTGTATCATAAAATCTCATGTATCCCATAAATACATACACCTACTGTGTACCAAAAAAATTATTTTTTTTTTTTTTGAGATGTAGTCTTGCTCCGTCGCCAGGCTGGAGTGCAGTGGAGCAATCTTGGCTCATTGCAACATGCGCCTCTCGGGTTCAAGCCATTCCCCTGCCTCAGCCTCCCAAGGAGCTGGGACTACAGATGCGCGCCACCACGCCCAGTGTTTTTAGTAGAGACGGGGTTTCACCATGTTGGCCAGGATGGTCTAGATCTCTTGACCTCGTGATCCACCTGCCTCAGCCTCCCAAAGTGCTGGGATTACAGGCATGAACCACTGCACCCAGCCACAAAATTAAATATTAAAAAAACACTTTTACTTCAAATGTATTCATAGAAATTCCAGCAAAAAAAAAAAAAATCTACAATATCACTCAGCACATTAGAAAACACAGTACTGCGGAAGTTCCCTCTGGACACTAACTTTATTGTGATACAATATGATATTCCTCATTTGAAATGCAGCCCCCTTTCTGACAGGTGCTGCATCTCACGCAGCGCTTCCGCAGTGCCCTTTAGTGACGATGCCTGAATATTGATGCATAGTCTCAATTAGCTATTGCCTTAGGCCTGAAAAAAGAGCAGAGACCAGAAGCATCTTACAATGCAAAATATTATTAAAATAGATTCTAAACAAATAAACCAGAGGTATTATAAAGCAGTTTTTTAAACAGTCAAGAAACTCAGTATAGAAGAATATCTGTTATTCTGGTTGCTACCAGTTAAATATCTCTATTACTGTGGCATCTGCAGTGATGAAAAAGTAGTCACATCTTTCAGGTTCATTTATTTGAACATGGCAATGAATACCATGAAAAACAACCCAATTCCTGACATACAGAGTCCAAACGACCTCTTTACAGGGCTGTAATTTTAGCTTTTAATAAACTGGCCTGTGTTAAACTGGCTAATTGAATGGGATAGCATCTAGAGCAAAAATCAGCCACATCCATAGGAGAGGCTTAGGCTTAAACTGAGAATTCCAAACATGACTGAGTGCCAAAACAGTTTTCTTTTGAGAGACAAAGACATGATAGGAGACAGACATCAATGGATGACCTGTGCATAGCACTCATTCTGTGTCAGCATTGGTTGTTACCAAATCATCTGTCCACATATAACCTGATGGATATAATAGAAACAAGTTGAAAAACGATTCAAAAGTTATTTAAATGATAAGTAGATGTACAGAAAACAGATCCATGATATCCCGATGTCATTACATTTATGGAGCAAAATTAAAATTCCACATGACAGAAGAAATAGAATTTCTTGTAGGCAACATATAGTTTTTTAAGAGAGAGAAGAAATGTAAGAGTTAGTTAAAACTCCTTTAATGTTCAACTACTAAAATCATTTGTCTTCTTTCTTCCTCTCTTTCTTTCTCTTTCTTTCTTTCTTTTCTTTGCTTGCCTGCCTGTTTGCTTTCTTTCTTTCTTTCTTTCTTTCTTTCTTTCTTTCTTTCTTTCTTTCTTTCTTTCTTTCTTTCTTTCTTTCCTTTTCTTTTCTTTTCTTTTGAGACAGGATCTCACTCTGTCATTCAGGTTGGAGTGCACTGGCACCATCATGGCTCACTGCAGCCATCATGGCTAACGACAGCCTTGACCTCCCAGGCTCAAGCTATCCTCCCACCTCAGCCTCCCAAGCAGCTGAGACCACATGCACATGCCACCATGCCTGGCTAATTTTTAAATATTTTTATAGAAATGGGGTCTCGCCCAGGTGCGGTGGCTCATACCTATAATCCCAGCACTTTCGGAGGCTGAGGCAGGCAGATCATGAGGTCAGGAGTTGAGACCAGCCTAACCAACATGGTGAAACCCTGTCTCTACTAAAAATACAAAAAAAAATTAGCCAAGCATGGTGGTGCAAGCCTATAATCCCAGCTACTCGGGAGGCTGAGGCAGGAGAATGGCTTGAACCTGGGAGGCAGAGGTTGCAGTGAGCCGAGATAGCACCACTACACCCCAGCCTGGGCAACAGACAGAGACTCCATCTCAAAAAAAAAAAAAAAGAAAAGAAAAGAAAAAAAGAAATGGGGGTCTCACTTTGTTACCCAGGCTGGTGTCAACCTCCTGGCACCAAGGATCCACCCACTTCTACCTCCAAAAGCATTGGGATTACATGAGCCACCATGCCCGACCTGTGTGCTTTTCAGAATATCATAGTCAACACTGAATTGTGTGTGATGCTGACAAAGAGGTGAAGTATCATAACTGAAAATGTAAATGATGCAGAAATAATATCTACTCCAAACTTGTATCAATGGCAGGAGAAACCTCAGTGACATTTGTAGATGATGACACTACGGCCCTGAACCCCCACATGGAGCCAGTGAATTTCAGTGGTCTCACTTCCATCCCATTGCTACTGCACCTCTTTAGGTTTGAAAATGTGTTTATTATACATGTGTCTGTTATTCTAAAAAACTTCCTTGAAATAGAATAAGAAATCAAACTCAAAACAGCTGCAGAAGATGGAGGGGATCTGGTGTTTTTCTCCATCTCCTTCTCCCAGAGGAGGTCCCCACGACCTGTAGCTCTCTCCAGCTTCTCCCAGGAGAGAGGAGGATATTAAAGGAGTGGTTGCAAAAGGGCTTCCCAGTACCAACATTAAACAGGGGAAAGGCAGTCCCATGCCAACGCTGTAATCATACACAGCGGGAGCAAGCCGGTAAAGACCAAGCAGGCAGGGTCTGGCAAAGCAGTCGGGCCATCAGGCAGGGTGCAGATCCACCCCCATGATACAGAAGAGACCCTGTCACAAGACCCCACATTCACATTAAGACAGCTGAGATGCAGACTTCTGCCCCTTTGAACCAAACCAAGCGAAGCCAAACCAAACCCACTCCCAGCTGAGCACGCCCACTGTTTGAAACAGCCCCACACTCACCGTGAGCCCCACTGGCCTCCGGGGATTGGGCTGCAGGTGTCCGTGGGACTCAAGCAGGTGCCTCTGCTCCAGCAGCTGGGCTCTGTTTCACTCCATCAAATCTCCAAACGTGATAGAGATGAGACAATTATTATATTTGCTTTCTCGCCCTTCTCTACCCTCAGCTCCACCCACCCCACCCTGAAAACTAGAGTTTTTACTGAAGATAAAACTTAATATTCTTTGTTTTCTATCCGTACGATTTCCTCAGAATCCATTTTGATCAAATGCAACCAGTGGATAAATTAAAATCCACTGGTTGCACCAGATACATTTCAATATAACTTCCTAATTTTAAAACTTTACTATCAACAAATTCAATTTTCTTTAGAAAAGGAGATTTTTAAAATTTTACTTAGACTGGGCACAGTGGCTCATACCTATAATCTGAGGGGATTTAGAAGGTCAAAACGAGTAAATTCCTTGAGCCCAGGAGTTCGAGACCAGCCTGGGCAAAATAGTGAGACTCCATGTCTAAAAAAATACATTTTTTTAAATTAGACAGGCAAGGTGGCACATGCCTGTGGTCCCAGCTACACAGAAGGCTGAGGTTAGAAGGATCGTTTGGGAAGTTGAGGCTGTAGTAAGCCATAATCACGGTATTGCACTTCAACCTAGGTGACACAGCAAGGCTCTGTCTAGAAAAAAAAAAGTGTATTAATTAATAAAATACAACATCAATATATGATATAATGACAATTTAGAAGGGTCAGTGATTGCTTGGGCGGTAACTGAAACCATGACCTTGGAAATCTCACTTTCAAGTCACACACGTGCTTTTCTTTTGCTTCCAGTCCCTCCTTTCTCCACCCTGGTTTTCTACCTCATTGAGGCTTCCAGTCCCTAAACTCTGTTTTTCTAAAGACTTATTTTTCAGCTCCCTCTGTTTCAGTCTTTCATGTTATCAAACTGCAACACACGCTTACCACCTACTGACCATGGTTTCATTGGAGCTTTCCAACCTCCTCATAATTTTTGCTTGCTTGAATCATTCTCCAACCTGGAATTGGAGAACATTTACAGAACTAAGCTAACAGTTTAGCTGTCTCCCCTCACTGAATACCACCTTCTCCCACAAAACCCTCTTATCACTATATTATGGACAGAGAACCTCAGAGGAGCTACTCCATTTGCCCAAGTCCTCCTCTAGGAAGGTGTGGAACTGGAATTTGAACCCCACTACATGCACTGGCCCTTGCCTCCCACCTCCTCAGCTCCTCTCCAGGTTCGACAGCAAGTCTGGTGGAAATACAGGAACAAAGCACTTAACTGCACTGGGCATTGCCATCGCCACTTGATTGCCTTAACCTGACTCCTCTCTCATTCCATTCCTAGTCCTAGAAACTTTGAAAGGATCATCTGAGTCTCTGACAATCACCAGGGCCGACAGAGTTCAGAAAATGCCCTCCCATGATGCCACTTCTGCAAAATCCTCCAAAACTGCTTCTTTGGAATAAACTACAAGGTTAGCAAACAATGGTTTTCTCAGAAATAGGGTTATAAAATGTGAGAACACAATACACTATTTTGAAACATTGAAAATACCATATCTGGCCC